ATGTAAATCAACCTTTGAAGACACTATAGCTGATTGACTTCATCTAATCAGATAATAATCAACCTTCTATCGTAGAATAAAAAACTTTCTTCATGATTCTAATGTATCATAATCTACCCTTGGGGTGTGGGTGTGGGTGCGAGTTTGAGGGTGATTTATTTTTGCCACGTGCTTAGTCTCGTACCCACGCCCACGCCCACATTCACACTCACACCCTTGTCGATAGAAGAAAAAATGTGTTCATCCATGACTAACACTACTGATGAGTATATTAACCATCATCCAGAAGACAAACAATTGCATCGGAATGTGGTTCGTCATCACAATATACTATCTTATTCGGTATTCAACATCTACCGGATAAGTAATAACAAACTACCATAGTGAAAATAACTTGTATCAATACTACGGATAGGATCGACCGGATGGAAAACAAATGATACTACAACTTAACATATGATAAGATAAGGTCATGTATTGATTCAACTATACCGAAACGCTGCGTAGTAGATTACGCTAATGATTTCATGGTGTCATTGCTGTCGATCATTGTCATCGTTCATTCATGCATATAGCAACATATTATTGACCATTCATCATTACCAGTAATCATCTGGAAACAAATTGTCTATGTACACCTTACTCTCTTTTTCATCACACATTTTCTAAAATTTGCTGACACATACCTTGGAAATTGACATAAACCACCACATTCGAAACTTCTTAGTGAAAAAATAAAATTCCTTGTTGAAAATTCCCATCTTCCAAGAGTTTCCTTATCTTTTTAAGTATAATAGAAATTGCAGAATCATCGTTTCGCTTGCCAAGTATGTCAGAATGTAGAATCAAGTGTCTATCTTACTAGCAAAAAATAATGAGATTCGTAATTAAATGAATATTTAAGAGGCTACAGCCACTGGCAACTACACGCAAATAATGAATCGCTTTCAAACAAGGACACAGTACGAATTCCTTTCTTTGTACCTCGAACATATAATTAACCTCCTGAGGACCGCTGTCTTCAAATTGAAGACAAACAGAACGAAAGAATGTTTTTCGTTCTGTCGTATCGCTGAACATATGTTTAAAAGCAGAAAATGGATAGAGGATCGTTCATTCAGTCAATGGTGATTACTGATTATTTTCTTCTAACTTAGATGAAAATATCAGCTAAATTTCAATAATTATTCAATATTATACTCTATTTTTTTAGATCATGTTATAGTTTATACTATATTTTACTATGAAATGCATCAAAACAGTCTGGATAACACAAAGCAGGTTTATCAGGACATATCCGACAAAAATAAGTAGGTTGTTTTCGAACTTGCTTCGAACGACATAATACACAACGTTGTTGAACATGGCCTTGTCTATTTTCATTATAATCTGTCTTGCCTAAATTCAAAAATAAGAACATAGATTCATTACAAAAGAACTTCAAACTTACTTGAGACATGTTGAACTTTCATAAGTTTTTGAGGTATATTACTGTTTGACACAGATAGAATACGTTTTTGAGGTGGTGTAAATTCATTCAAGGATTTTCTAGTGATTCCTGTTGATTCCATAGTATCTCGAACGAAACTATCAAAAAGATAAGCAATAGAGCTCGGAAAATTTCTTACCGCATGAGAAATTTCGAGAACCGAACTTTGGAATCATACATTCGGTACATAACAAAAGCATTGAAGAGAAGTCGACCGAGAAAGTGAATGCCTAGTTTCATAAACCACCGATATGACTGTCGATCTATACGTGTGTGATGAAGCAAACTATCACTTAGATCCACTCCCATATTTCGATTGAATCAATAATCGATGATGGTTTAGAAACGAATTTTTTCACACCACCTATAAATAATTTCAGAGTGTGAACAACAGCAAAGCAATTATAGTACCTTTTTCGAACCTTTCCACTTGCAAAATACCAGCTGTACCTTTCAAGTCCACCACATAGATTTCTTTATCACCAGTAGCTTTTTTGTCTAGAAATTTAATCATCATTAGTTCTCCACTTCTCATAAAGCAAGAAGCAGGCGCTGTCAATTTTTTTTGAACCAACTCTTTCGGCACTCCTATATAAAAAGATTCATATATTATGTCATCTTTCTGAATCATAAAAATTATTTCTAAAAACTAAAAGGACGGGGGTGGATATGCTAGCAAAAACGGCCCTATTTGGAAACCATAGTGAAACCCCTATTAACTACACATAGTTCGAAAAGAAATTAATACAAAACGACGAATCAATAAAAATTTCTGCGAATCTTCCACTTTTTTCCTGCGAGCCAGGTGATATCTCTTATACGGCTTATACAAGAGCTATATACG